CTAAGACTTATGCTCTTGGAACACAGTGATCTTACTCCAGGGACTAAGGAGAGGACTTTGGGTAATGGCTCCAAGGAGAATGAGACAAGAAAAAAAGGATAACAATCTATTCGTGTGTTTAGGAATCTGGGGTTACACTTAGCTTTTTTAGGACAGCAAAGAATCTGTGCCCCATGAGCTTATCTGTTCTTAGGGGATGTCTCGGTAAGGGACAGAGGGTGGGGCACTTTTTTTAACTGATGTTCATTCTGAAAATGCCAATCCTGTCTCAATTCAACAGGAAGCCAAGCACACTGACCCAAATAGTGGGCGAAGAAGAAAATGCCAGGAGAGACCAGACACAGCAGCCGCAGTGGGTGGGTAGAAAGGAGCCAAGCAGGTACGGAACAGGTGGGGAGCCTTAGATAAAAAAGGTCAGCTAGATCTTCTGCTTCCCCCTGTACTTTGCAACCTGAATCTCCTGCCTTCATCCTCTAAGCTCACTGTTTCATTCAATCTTTGTTTTTTACATACATAGGCTCTCTGAAGGAGAGGAATGGGAATTTCTCATAATTGTACCAATTTGCTATGTCAGATCAAAAAAGAGCTTTTATAGCTACTGCTGGTGGCACGAGTCTGTAATTACAGCTACTCAGGAATCTGAGGCAGGAAGAACTCAAATTGGAGCCCTGCCTGGGCAACTCAGATCATCTCAAAACAGAAAACAAGGGCTGAGGGTATACCTGGGCAGTACAGTGCTTTGGGAGGCCGCTTCAAGGAGAGGCCTATGCAAGGTGCTGGGTCCACTCCTCAATGCCAAGAAAGAAACAAAGCAAGCATTTCTGAGTACTCTATCTTTCTGCTGCTCAAGGCGTCACACAGCAGCAGCTTATGGGTGCCCTTCCATGCTATAAAACTACTCGACCAATTTTAGTTCCATAATGCACACGGTAACGCCTGTGTGAGCAGCACTTTGTGGGGTACAGAACTAAAATGACAAGAGCAGATGTACATCGCGCCTTTTAAAAAGAAACGTATTTCAAATGTGAAAATAGTGAACTTTAGTCTCCAAAGGTTATGACTGCAGAAAAATACAAGGCCATGAGCACAGGAATACAAAGAGGCCATTGGTGGAGCAAGACAATCTCTGGTATGTGGTGAAAATGAGGAATTCCTGCTGTCTCCTTCACTAAACAGAGATGTGAGAAAAACTGAGAAGTGTGCACTATGAGGAAAAGTGTTTGAATGTTACCACAAGAAAGTGGTACGTATTTTATTAAGCAATATGTCTCTGCGGCCAGTTTCTGTTCGCATTAGTTATATGGGTCCCACTAGCAGGTAGATCTAAGGAAAATACAAGTATTTTTATGATGATTGCAGAAAGAGAAGAAAGGAAACATATATTGTTGTACAGAACACACTGAATCATAGCTACTCAGAAATTCCAAGCCAGGAAAAATAGCCTTTGGCCAGGCAGGGACTGAGAAACAGATGCGAGCAAGCAGCCTGGCCTCCGAAAAGCTACAGCTACAGACTTCGCAGCCTAGTGATCAGTCTTGGGGAGACTGCTGTGGGCAAAACGATGGAAAAGTCCTGTTTAAAGAGAACTATACCCCTGGATCCACAGACACAGTGAACCCCATTTACATGAGAAAAGAACGAGTCAACTAGCCAATAAGGTATATGTAAAAACAAGGGGATCCAAGAGGTGAAAAAGGAAGCTAAAACTCACCGATTTCAGAACATGATGATAATGCTAGTGGGAACTGGGTTACTTTGGTTGCAGAGAATTTAGAATATGCAAACATAATCAATATGCATTTTAAAGCTCAAACATGGTATTATACTTGAAACTATCTGGTAAATGTTAGGTCTACGCATCTGGCAGGCAGTGTGATTTTGAGGAAGATGAGACAGCTACACGTACCCGGAGTCTACAGAGACATTTCATGGCTTTTTAAGCCACTGACAGCAATTTGACTACCAGAACTGCTTGACTTTAACTGTAAGGGATGCTGAGGTACCTGCCAGTCACCTCTTTGGCAGAGGCATGGCTCTGGAAGCAGCTGGAGCATTAATTAGATCTTGATAATATCTGACTATATTAGCAAAGTGACTAAATACTCTGTAGTGGCCAACAATTTGGCATCACATACTTTCATGAACATATATAATTACCCATTTAAGAATGTAAATCAGGGGGTTAGGGAGATGGCTCAGTAGAATAAGTGCTTGTCTGGCAAGCGCCTGAGTTCAATCCCCAGTTCCGCCAAAACAAACAAACAAATAAACAAACAGAATGTAAATCAGGGATGTAGCGCAGTGGTACAATGCTTGCTTAGTATGCATGAGGCCCTAAATTCAATCCCCAGGACTGGCAAAAAAAATAAAAACAAAACAAAAATGCGAGGGGTGGTGGTGGTGCTGGTGTGGCAAATCACTGAAGAAATTTAGGTTACTTTAGACTACTGGAAAATGAAATTATGAGTTGCAGATTAAAATGAAAAGGATACAGCATACACATAAAAGTATGAGAAGAAGAAATATAAGTTAAAAATAATTTGTAGAAAAAATTCAAAATGAAAGATGACATGGGATTATAATTGATACAACTTTCCCAACTCCATAGACAAGAGTAACAAAGGGTAGTATTTTGATTAGACTATTTGTTTTAAAAGAAATATGATCACTAAACAAAATATAATTATTTTACTTTTTCCTGCATGGGCGTGAGAGAGATATTAAAAAATAAAGCTGTGAATCTGCAAATTACATGTAAATGCAGCAAAAATAATAGTTTATTAATCAAAGTTGACTAAACTTTGGCTAAGACCTCACTAGCCATGTGTATTTTTCAGTATACTATAAGCCAATAAAAAGGTTTAAAAAAAACCACATTAGTTGAGATACAAATGAAACTGTCACAATAAATCCTGAAAAACAAACTGTTTTGACAGAAGTATCAAAAGAACACAGAAAGAACACACCAGAATAATACCACTGGTAAAAGATAGGCAATTTCATAGGGCCCAAAGAATTCAGTGATGCTGGCGATAGGTAGGCCACAGGCACTGGAAAACTGAAAACTGACTCTTTCTCATACTTACAGGTACTGTACCTCAAGGTGACATGGGCAAGAAATAACTAACTTCGAAAGAGCAGGACCCACTCCCAATTCTGTCTTCAAGCCAAGACAGATCACACCCATAGTGATGATGACTTCTCTTCCCTGTTTCTGCCATGAATGTCTCTGGGCTTGCCATATATCTACAACCCTAGACCCACAACAGAACAGCCAGACACTATATGTGGCAGTTCCACTAGCCTTCTGCGCTGGGTGGAAGGAAGTCTGTTTTTCCTGGTCCCATGAGGCCAAGTTGCTCTGAGAGTGAATCAGTGCTCCCAATTCCACTACAAGGATGCCCCAAGTTTAGTGTGATGGATACAAATGCTACACCAGAAAAATATAACCGAGCTGCAGACCATAGCCACTCCAAACTTCTACAGGAATTAAGATTACAGGACTTGACCATGTAAGAGTTTTTAAACAACACTGCAGATATGGGGTATGTTTCCCTTTTGATGCAATTCCTATAGTGCAGGTGACCTGGATTCCATCTTTAGCTATAACAAACATGCACAAAAGAAAAGGTAGCGACTGTTTGCGTTGATACTATTTTACTTTACTTACCTCTTTGACACTGTGTGTTACTGCCCATATTAGAAAAACTCTTGACATCACCTGGAAAGAAGTCAGGACAACAGAAGATGGAACAATTCCTGAAAGAAATTTAGGGATGGATAAATAAATATACTATATTGAGTTTTATCATATATTTTCTAAAACATTTAAATGTTTATAACTATCTTAAGCAACTGAAACTTATCTATATATTTTTTTCTATAATTTTATTGATAAACAAATAGCAATGGGACAGTTTCAAATCAAATTGGTAGGACAGTTT